TCGATAAATTGTCTGGAAAAATAGTCGGTGTTAGTTGGCTCATAGATGACTCAGATGTAACATGTGCGTCACGGAGCCGGCCTTACCACAGCACTGTAGCTCACCTTGCTACGTGACGATTATTGACCCCTAAAACGTTTTGTTATGTAAATAGGTCGATCTTATATATTTGTGTAAAAAATTTCGTACAGTTAATCCTAAAAATACCAATTACAATGAAAGTTGCTGCTTCTTGGATTCTGTCAACATTAGAATTTGTAACACCTTTACCAGAACATCCGTAGAACTTGTTGTTATCACTATTCATTCCAAACAAATAAGTAAGAAGGATGACATGTTTATTTAACGAATTCAATGAAGCGTAATTACTTGTAAATTGATTCAGAATTATTTCTATGACTACTTTGTCCTAATACGACATACATAATTGAGGCTTTTTTGCTTATTCGAGGTATGTTTCAAGACGGCCTTTCGACTCTCCGTTTTCCTTGTAACAACTCTCTGGTTCACGTCAACATTCCCTACATGGCAAGTTGTCCGCTCGCCCACGCCCTCGTGCGGCGATACAGACTTTTGTTTTTTAATGCTTCCCTGGATGAAATTTATAGTTTCTTAGAATCTCCTTTCCTAGTTATCTTCAACTTGGTCATATTAACATTAGAAGCATTATAAAATCTAAAAACAGATCTTAACAGCATTATTCCATTATGCATTACTTTGAACAGTTTCCGCTTATATGCGGAATTAATTTCTACACAAGAATTATTATGACATTGTAGAATATATTATTTATCTTTGTTTACGCAATTTGTATTTATTAAGTGTAATTTTATTTTATTACTAAATAAAAGTCGTAAACAATAGCATTAGTTTCTTTATTACACCGTTCTTCATTCGTCAATAATTGTAATAATGCTTAGTTTCAATTAGTTTAAGTTCAATAACGTAAATGGGCACTTAATTAAAAGGAAATGTATCATCTGATCAGTTACATAGAGCAGGCAACCATTTAGTAATACCGAATGGAATATAGGTCAAAAAATTATAATTAATAATGATTAAGCTTCCATTCCTAAGCGAAGGTTTCTTCCCGGCCCTCTCAGCCCGTCATTAACCTTTCGGGACTGAGTCTTATATCGTAATACCGAAGCAAGGTTAAGTTTTTGTCGATCATCAATATCCGTCCCCGACGAGCCATTGTTATAGTCAAGCTATTTTAAGATGTTTTTGTCATACATTTTTATTGTCTTGATAAATTTAGATTCTAATTAATTTAAAAAAAAAAAGATTTGTACTATTTTATATTTACGACGGAAATCTTTAATGTTTTTGAAGAATTTCCATGATAGCAAACGTAATGATGAAGAGAAAACAATATATCTCCAGAAATATTTTGGAATCTATTCCAAGAATCTATTCCAGTGCGGGTTCATCCGCATGTAATTATAAAAACCTTATTTTATTTTTACATTTGTTAAATTCTCAATTGCAAATTTCATAATTACCTTTACCATATGATAATAACCCTAATGTTGGCAATTTGTAGTTTATGATTCCTTCCCGACATGAAGGTATTTTCCGATTTATTGGCCTCCAAGTTTAATAGCCTAAAGTGTGTCATAAGTGCATTTTATTAAAGAAAGAATTATTCACAACATGCTGTGATTGGTGACAACCTACGCAACGAAGCAGTGTATGTTTCCGCTTTATTAAGTTAAATAAGTATAAATAAGTATTTAAATATAGGTGTAGATTTACATAGCTTTAAGTTAAATTAGAGGTTTCCCATTTGTGTTTATTTAAAGTTTAATACAACGTATTGAATTACAAGCACGGGTTTTAAATTCTAGGTGTAAAATGGACGTAACTTCTGATGCGTGTCCGGTTTTTGTCTGTCCAAGGTCTTCGCAATCAGTGTATTTTAATTTTGTTTTTATTTTCAGTACAAAGTGCAATCATTTCCTATGTTATACGTACTTAGTGAGATAATTTACCTCATTTACGACTCACATAAGCCGTCTTTGTTAGGAAATAGCTCGTGTTTAAGTAGGAAAAGTAACTCTTGTTCTCGACAAAATGTTAAAACATTATACGTCAAAGGCTTTTAAAAGGTACCCGATGTAAATAGGCTGAGGCATTAACCTGATTGTGCCTTTACTCTTTATAACGGTTCTTTTGTAAAAAACAAATCCTCATTTTCTAAGTAACACATATAACTTTTTCCTTTGATATAAATACTTAATAGAACAATGATAAATTTCCATTTGTATTACATAATGCCACAGTCTGATGATTATTCTGCATCAAATGTATTATCGAAATAGAAATAATTTTATTGAAAAATAAGAGATTAACAGTTACAATAACAGTCATACCAACTAAAAGATAAATACAAATTGTGGTTAATACACGATTAATCTGGTGATGCCCAAAATAATGTTAAAGTTTACAATAGTCATATTTCATGGCCACCACGCTTTGGTGATTATGATTATACAAGAAAAGAACACCTAGTTGATTTATTTGTTGAATAAATTAACAAGTTATTTTAAGTACGAAGCAAAAGTTATGGGGTAAAAGACTGATATGATAAACTCGTTGAAAATTACTGCCTAGAATTTCGATTATCTCCTTTTAATCGCATTGTTTATTTGTCTGCTTTCTAGTTTAGTATAACAATTAAAATGGTAATCAAATCCTTAAGACTTTTAAGTCTTCTTTAACATTTAAAGAACGTATTGTGTTAATTTCAGGGCCACCGCCACGGCTGGGCTTGAAGGCGGCGAGCCCCGGCGCTGGGGGCGCGGGGGGCGGGGTGGATGAGGACTGCAACAGTAACACCAGCCTTGCCGGCAGCCAGCACTCCGGGCACGACGACCTCGACGCGCACTGCGACAACTCCGGATACCTGTGGTTCCTCGACTACAAGTAACTATCAATTCTGTTCCGTCTTAATTTTATTGCGACCTGCAGTTTAACATGAAACCCTACGCTCAACACAATTTTGTGTATCGGTGTGAGGTAAAAGAGCCAGTTGCAAATCACATTCTTCTGCACGCCAGGATAAAGTTTTAATGTTATAATGCAGTAACATCCAAATTTAAAGACAGATGACTATTTTTATCGAAGGCTTTTTTACGTCATTGTTCATGTAGTTGCTTCAACCTTTTTTGACCGTCTTCAAAAAAGAATAGGTTCTTAATCCTGTACGTATTTCATGTAAACAAATGGCAAAGTAACATAGTAGTACAACTTTACGCATAACTAAAATAGCTTCTAAGGTACCACTTAAACTTTATCTTCTTACGCTATACCAATACAAAAAGCTATACAATTTATTCCACTGTTATATCTTTCCAAAGCCCGCTAGAAATGGAAGCCATTGCTAACGCCTTTGTTCTGATAAACATAATTTGTGTTTATTGTTATTCGATACCCAGTTTCGGAACATTTGTTTTTGCTAAGTATAAAGAATTTATAAACAATGATATTACAGTCGTATACTTTGTTATTAAATTATAAAATAGTTTGTATATAAGATCACATGACTTTATGGTACGATGCGGAGCTCACACAAAACATCAAACAATCACAGATTTTCACAACCGAATCATCAATACAAAAGTTAGCATTGCTTTTTCAGATACCGATATGTCTGAAAGAGGCTAACGATACTAATGAAATAATAATAAGTAAAGTCTTTGTACAGCAACACGTTAACCTAGATTTGAACAAGACGCCGCAAACCGGGGCTACGTCCACTATCGAAACTGGCTCTAGATAATATCCCACCAGGAAACACACCATTGTTGTTACCACAGGATATTGTAACTGTACATAATCTGTTATTAGTCTTGTAACAAATTATGTCTTTCGCTATTTTGTATTGGTTGCATAAAATTTAGAAATGCGGTAATATTATAGTAAAATACTCGTAGATGTCACTAATTCATGATTGGAATCCAATTTCACTAATTATACAAGTACAAACAAAACGATGAATGAGTTAATGAAAAATTCATTTAAAATGAAAATACACAAAGCATTTTTGTTGAAAGTGCAGTACGCAACCACTCGTATAAGGTCTTTGTTATTACAATAAATATTGAACTGTCTAGTTATAACTTGATAATGTTTCCGATATATAGGTATTTTTTCCACTGTCCATCTTTATATTTCAATCATTTAACTAATGTTATTCTATTCCAGTCCTATCTTCCGGGACAGCACGTGCCACCACACGTCCGTGCTGTCTTCGTTGTCAGCGTCGTACAAAGGCATAAGTGAACTCAGCTCCCGGTTCGAGTTCACGTCTCGCTACAACGACCTCGCGCGGGACCTGGACGCCAACCTCGCGGAGGCGGACATGGAGAGCTTCAGAACAGAAGACATACATGCCCTCCTCATGACCGCCAATTTGCCGCATGACGTCATCGTCGATGATAGAACTAACGATGTAAGTAACCTATTCGGAGACTGACACAGTACACTTGTGTACAAATCCAATTATCTAACTCTGACTACGCTAAACGCTATTTTGGAAGAGGACGGTGTCAATCGATACGTATATTTTTCCAGTTTCATTAAGTTGGTTTGAGCCTACACTTGTAACATTCATCAATTACCTATAAATAATATAAAAATATGTCTAAATGAAAGCCGGGAAAATTCTTAACCGCATTTATATTTTTAAATTGCGTGAATATTTTTTGTCAATTAATATATTATTGTTCCTTGACAATAGTTACATAAATAAAAGTATAGTTATAAATAGATGAGGATAAAGTAAAATAACAAACCATGATTATTACAAAAACCTAATCGTCATTGAGATTTCACCTTGTCATTTGTTTGTCTTTTTTTAATAAAAAAACTGTAATGACTGATAATTACCATACGTTTCTTTCAAATACATGTACAGATAAAAAATAAATAATGAAGGTATCGGTATTTCACGTCTCTTTAACCTTACGCAAGTAAACAATTAATTGCCGCGTCTCAATATTTCGCAAGTACGAATAAAAGAATTATCTCGTCTCGCAGCAAACATAAAAGTTTAAAGGCAATAAGTTAAGTTTAAACGAGAACATCAAGTAAATGGTGGCCTTCTTTTGCTTTTTCGGTATATTTTAAGTGTTCTTACGGAAATATTAAGCAGTGTAGCTACTACAGATTTTTTTTAATGATTGACTATACTAATATTATAAAGATAAAAGGATTTTATTTTTATATTTTTGTGTGTATTACAATAATTCAAAAACTATTGGGACGATTTCAAATATCCTCAAAAAAGCTGCGTTGAAGCAGATGAATTATATGAAGCATGATAAACGCTCTGGCTTCCATGCTAGAGGAATTGTATAATTTAATAAAAAAAAAAAGCTGCGTTATCAGAGAGTAACAAAGGTTATATTTTTTAATTCCACGCGGGTAAAGTCGTGAGCACAACCTAGTTAGGTATAAAAACAAAGGAATAATAAAAAATACAAATACAGATGTCTATGGGCAGCGGTCGCTTCGCCATTTCGGCGAATTCATGTGGCCGCGTGCTCGTTAGCCACCTTAACAAAATAAAAAAGCGTTTTTTTTCGTAATTAAAAAATTTATTCGTACAGGCAGTGTGTAATCTTTCTAAGGCGTACGGAAACATGAATAACTACATACTTTGTTAACTAACAGTAATCCCATAACATAGAAATAATTAACAATGGCTCCCAATGTACGGTATAATATTATATACTTTTTTAATATTTAATTTGGTGTTTGTTATTATTAACAGTAATATTTTTTTGCCATCCATACCGTATGTTTATTTTTCAGTTCTATACTAATTTGGTGGATAAGATATATTGGTGTATTGCAGAGTAACCCCCGGGGCGAGATGTTCGCCAGCATCTCGACTTCTCTCATGGAAAGATTTCGCTTCGACAGTTCTCTCAGTGACCAGAGTAGTTTGCAGGTTCGCGACGCTTTGCTCAACTCAATGTTGCCTGTGATTTTCAAAATTCTCCTATTTGTCACTAACAAGTTACTTTTCACACTGTACACGTCTTATCTGCAAGCAAATGCATGATATTTTTAACACAACTTAATTTTATTATAGGTCCTAATTATTTTATCGTCACTACTAAAATAGCGGTAAAATTAAAAACTGAATTAATTTGCTTTACAGTTATTTTAAATACTTATTATAAGGATTTATGGCAAAACAGTAGACGGAAAACGTATCAAAAATTAATACTCGCGGATGCGTATTTATTATTTTTAACATATGTTATTACATTACCCCATTATATCCATAAAGACGTATATGGAAATTGCAACAGGGTTGTGTTGATTTTCCTCCAATAATGTTTACTATTTTCCTTCCATTTTATTTCCCGGCATCAAGTATTAAGACTTACACTGCCATCTAGTGAACAAGACTATTATTACCGCTTTGTTATTATTGTTCGCTAGATGGCAGCACAAATTAAATTAATTTGTAGCGCGTTTATATTTTGTGTCAATATGTTTTAAGTCGGAAAGTATTAAAAAAAAAGCAGAACCTTATCTATTATGATTTAAAATTGTAATTAACTTAACAAGTTTAGAATCCATGAAATATGTATGATATTTCGTAATTTAAATCAGGAATACCTACCCTCAATAAAGTTTTTTTTTAATTAGTGTTAGTGCTGATAGTGCGAGTGCTGTGTTCGAGTGTTAATTATTTCGTAAATATATGGATACTATTTACGAGGACTGGGGCCGCGTTAAAGAGAATTCCAATACATTAATAATTCTTACAAAATGAAAGTCAATGATCGGCCGTGGGAGAAACACGGGCTATTTTTACAGGTAATTACTGAAGTACAATAACAATTAGTGCCAAATAACCCATTTAGCTAAGAAGTTTATTTCGTAGTTCAAACATAAACACGTCTTTATGGGTATTTATTCGGACGATTTTTGTAACATTTCTATTAACGCGTTATCTTGGAGGTAATTTTATCGCACCGATCGATTGTATAAATAAGTGGAAAGTCCAAGATACTTTAGCATTCACAACAAGACTCCCTCCTATACGTAACCCCATAGCGCGTAGATCCCACGGGATGTGCTCAGTAGTAAAGTTAAAATAAGATCGTTATATATGTGTGCGTAGTCTGTACGTACATGGCCCGCGCCGAATTGCGTCAATCGTTTCAACTACACTTTATTCCCCCGTTCATACAGTCATTCCCTCCATGATACTTATGTGTGTGGGTCCTATAAATATACATTTGTATTCAATGTGTGCGTACGCATGTTGCCACCATGTGTGCGTCGCCAATGAAGTTTATTCATCACACCAGTCATTCTCAAACTTCTCTCTCGGGCGTTAGTCTAAACAGCACAGTGCACCAAATTGTGTAAACTAATTACTTTCACAAACATCTGCTGTTTACATACTAAGTGTAAACAATCATTATATTGATAATTAGACCAACACTTATTGCCCTCCGGATATCTAATTATCTAATTATAGACTTCACGTCAGTTCAAAGATAGTAGTTCCACTTGGGATGTTATACGAAACGGTATTGTTTAGTAGCGTCTAAACTTTTGTGACAGTTTGAGCGCCGCATGCGTCGGCTAATATTAAATTTAGTATCCCCGCTGCCCCAGTAGCGCCCTGGGCATTCGGGATTGTTGTACTCTGCGCTTCCTTGCAATGAAATCGATCACATGTGATTTTTTAAAGTTATATTTGTGGTCTATACAAGACCTTATAAACAACTGTGTGTGCGTTAGATAGTGCACGTGGAATTATGTGATTTTTTTATTATTATTTAGGACAGTGCGAAGTGTGAACATTGCGTAAAGTGAATAGGGCTAAAATCTATTCGTAGCATAGTAGTTTAGTGAACACATTTCCTAAGAGACTTTGGACTGGACAAATTAAAGATGGGTGTGACTGAATATGACTGGGAAACCTATTATGGATATTATTCCGTAAGTTTTGTATTCTCATATTTTGTACATAACAAAATTTATCTCACTTATTATTTACATTCTATGATCAAGCGAATTCGTTATAATATTGACAACAAAATAATCTATTATTGCCTGATAACCTATGAAACATTGCGATTTCAGGGTATATTTAAATTAAACAATTTTATATTACATATACTTCTTTAACGTATAACATATAGCATTGTACTCAACAATCAATATACCTACAACACAAAACGATTTGCATTATAAACTAATCTTGTAAGAATTTTAAAAATACCCTCATTCAAAACACAACACAAGCCCCCTATATTTTTAATGTGTACATGAGTGCGTTGTTCTGAAGTGCATGAGTCGTTGTTTGATTTGTGACCTCATTGTAGCAGGAAAGGGAATTAAATTGATGATAACGCCCGTCCCGGAGCGACATCTACTTGTACAATGTGTACTCATTGCCACTCACAATATACAAATGTACAATACATTTGTATATGAAATTCAAAGTTTGAAACCTATTTCAGTTCAATGTAGGAGGAAGTATTTTGTTGCCAAAATTAAACATGCAAACATCTTTGTAATTCGTCATTTCTTAAAACTGTTTTTGCTGATAATTTTTATGCGATTATTAATGTTTTTGTAAAGATTATTCAGAATTATAACTAGTTTTTTTATCAGGGAACTTTAGACTTATGCCATTTGTTATACTATTTACCTCCTTGGACGTAAGAGCTGTAAGCAAGCGATTGTTTGCGGTCTGGGTAAATCAAACATTGAAAACCTACTGACTCAGCAAAGTCGCTGTTATAATTCCTTCAATATAAGTTGTGATTTATTAAATTAATAATATGGATTATTTAGAGAAAGAGCTACGAATATACTTTTATTATTGTTAAAATAACATTACTAACTAGCATAATTAGTGTCTCCTGATAAAATATGGCGCCCTAAATGACATAATTTAGACGAAAACTCATTAATAGATATTCTATGTAATTATGTAGCACATCATAATAATGTGAAAAAAATATATGTGTATTTTTTGTTGCTTATCAAAATAATGTTAAATCTTCAATGTGTTTTACCGTCTTTGTCAATCCGCTAGACACGATGGACTTAATTTAGTTTCCGTCTTCCACTGGACGGTCCAAATATACGTGTTGTGTAAGCCCACTGTTTATGTTCATGTTCCGACTACAAAGTTTACGTTTCGAAACTTTCCGGGAACGAAGTCAAATACCTCGCCCATATAGATAAACACCGTCCACAGCTATATCAATGTACATTTGTAATCAATTACATACAAATTCTAGTAAGCCGTAACGACAAATTGATGTCTTTATTTCTTCAAAGCCAATAAGAGAGCAATGTTATAGTTATACTTGTGTTATACAGTCGAAACTCAAGTATACATGAACGCAAGAAGCTTATTGCTTTAACAGTCTTACCGGACTTTTTAACAATGAGCTTTATTTCAAACAGGGCGAAGAGTCCGTCGGTTCTATCAACACGATGTCTATCTGCAAGTCGGAGCTGCTGTTCTCACCCGTGAAGGAGGGGCACGGAGTGCACTTCAGCGTGGATAGCTTGGACTGCGAGTTGCCGGCAGAGCAAGACCTCATCCTCACCTGCCAAGCCAATAAGGACAACTACACTATCGCATTTGAAGGCAGCGTCACCATTTACTCCGAGGACAGTGAATGCGCCGAACCCGCCGTCAATCAAATACATGGTATATCAGAATTATACAGAGACATACTAGCTATTACTCGCGACTTCGGCTGCGTGAAATTGAAAATATAATAAAAACGTAGCCTATGTTACTACGATAAAGTAGCTTTTTAAAAGTGAAAGATTTTTCAGTCCAGTCGTTTTTAAGTTATTCCAATGAATACAAAAATCCGAAAATAAAAATCTTTCCTCTTTATAATATTAGTATAAAAGATATAGATTGACAAGCTATATCGTACGACTTCTAGAATGAAAACATAGCTTGTTTAATATTTATGTTAGTAATTGGAATAGTTGTAGATTTTAAATGTAAACTTATGCGTCAAAATGTGATAACCTCAATGGCATAATAATATCTGTATCAGTAAAAAATAAATAACTTCATTTAGATATTGCATTTTTAGCACGTAATGTAAGGATGGTGATTTAGTTAAACAAACGCGTCCATAAAGGTGTTTATATTCAGCTTGATTAAAATGACGTAATGTTTGAAAATCACATGACGAATCAAAATTCCTCATTATTCACGATAAGCTTCTCGCTAATTCGGTTCATATCTTTGCAGACAAATTGGGTAAGGAAGAAACTAACATAGCAATAGATAGTGATGAAAGAACGCGCAGGAATTTAGAATTATTAGAGAGATGTAAGAAATTGACAAATAAGCTTACAACTTCAATGGCTAGAAGTGATTTAGGATTAACTACGTGGAGTAAACTTAAGAAACAAACCAGTCAGTCACCTTTAAGGAGGTAAGTCATGCTCTGATACAAATAGGATGGATAATATTACGTTGTTATGCTTTGTTTTCAATTTACTATACTATTTTTTCTTTATAGGCATCCCTCAGGTAATAATAATGGAGACTCTAATGATACGACTAATATAACAAGCGAGATGAACAATTCAGTAATAAAAAGCCAAAGTTTGCCAAATCTTTATAGAAGAAAATTAATGAGTAGCTCGATCGCCTCGGTCGCTCTGAGCAATTCTACGGTGCGTATTGCTATACTAATGAAATGCATGATTCTGTGTATGCTTTACAATTTGTAACTATTTAACAAGTTTACTTTTTTAGGTCGATTCTTTCACGGCCAATCAGAGGCTAACAGGCACGTCCACGTGCATGAAGGTATACGATGTATCACAAAACCGCTCCTCTCACGGTAGCCAACACTCGGAGCCTATGAGCACATCTTCTACTGAAAATCAAACTTCCTCAGATAAAAGCCAACCTAAACAATCGTTCAACTTAGTTAAGCTATTTATGAAACAGAAAAGCATCAGTAACGATGGAATAGTCACCATGGACCAGCTTGATAGATCCGAATGTTGGCCGTCGAGCTCTGGTGGTGAAAGTGCGGAGTCAATGGGGGAACAAAAGTTAGAAGATTTGAGAATTCGATCTGCATCAGAGAGACCACAAATCGATCTACCCAATGATGAAGAGGAAACATCGCTTGTTTATGAAGAAATTAAACCGATTAATGCTTATATAAGAGAAACGAAAGTGATTGAGGAAGAAGATGGAGCTAAATTGAGCGATAGCGAATCTAACCTCTATGCTGTAGTAAATAAGCCTCACTTTAAACGGGCAAGTCTTCATGTAAACAGTCCATCCAAAGCAAGACTTACAAGAAAATCTTGCTCTTCTCAATCCTCTGCCACGAGTGTTAGCATTTCGAGTTGCTCGGAATCAGATGGTACTCAGATCACGAGAATGGACAAGGTTGTTGAAAAGGAGCCCTATGATAACAAAGCAACGTCAACTCATCTTGATACCGACACAATAGACAGGAGCATACAGACATCACATATGCAAGCTTCTAACATATCCCAAGATAGAGAATTGTTTAAAGTTGTGGAGCCTTCCTTCCTAGAAAAATTAAAAGAAGGAGATTGTGAGAAACCTGTTTTCGTGTTGTATCCCAATTATACTTTACCCGATATCAGCTTTTTGAACGGAAGGCCTAATATTTACTTAAATCCATTAAAAGTAAACGTATCTCCAAAGTCAACCGACAGTAAGAAAAACAGAATACAAGTTAAGGGCAAAAGACCATTTTCGTGTAATGATATGGAAGTGCTAAAGAAAAAAGGTCTTGGTCACATCAAGGATTGGGATTCCCTGAACTTTTTATTACCTGTGGAGTGTAAACAATTGCTCTCCGAAATGCCGGAACTGGCGCAACATATAAAAGAAAAAGAAGGTATGTCGAAATGTAGTGATAGATACTGTAATGCCTCTCCATTCTCTAAGGTTAGGAACAGGCCATTAAGTTGTGATTGTAACAATTTGGCAGGAAACACGACAGCAGTGTCTTCGAGCTCGAGCACAGCCACTCAACCATCTTCAGGTTATAGAGGATCGTCCACGATGTTGACCGATTCTTCAGCACAAAATAGTCCAGCCCCAGCGGGGAATTTCAATCCATTGTTTGTATATCGATACGATTCCGCCACGAGTTCGGAAGCGAGCTGTGCCAATGCCGATGGCCAGAGAACAAACCTTTCAGTCCCCAAGAGGTCGTTCAGTTTAGCTGACCAAACTAGGCTGGCGAAACAAACTGAATTAGCACCTCCGAGACCGCCGCTACCGAAGAGTATATTACGCAAATCGATGGATAAAACTAGAAAATCCAGCGCACAAACAAAACGTTACAGCATGTTCGAGTTGGACGAGTTCATGCAAGACCCAATTGTTTGTGCTACAGCTATAACCGAACAAAAAACGAAAAGACGTTCTCTTCAGGAGCCTTACTACTTGCAAAACCAAGCTCCAGATTATAGAAAGAATAATGATCTAGCAGCCAAGCGACTCTCGCAGCAGTTTTTGGATGCAGCAGATAAAGATGCCGACTACAATGAGTATTATCAAGATGAAGGAGTCGGAACCGAGAGCAGCTTGGAGTCGGGAAAATCTAATGAATTGAAATACTATCGACCTCATACGCCTCCTATGCCCAAGCCGAGGACAAAGAAAATTGAATATATCGATTTCCCGCCCCCTGGCGCATTGATAAGTAGTGCAGATTTACAACAGCTGGAAGAATTCCTCAAACAAAGCGGTTTCAACTGTCAAAACATGGACGAGTGGGACCAGAATCAAGTGCAAAAGGTAAGAAGTCAGGTCACGAAATTCCTCCAAATGAAGCGATCTCAAGAAGAGAATCAGCGATCCACAGATTCCAGTGGGAGTAGCTGCAACAGCAAGAAATCTGTCAGCTTTGCACAAAAGTCTGATGCCTTAGTTGAGGGTCAACCGTTGCAAATGAAAGCCATCGATGACTATAAAGTAGGAAGCCCTTCCACTCCACCAAATTCACCTAACATTTGTGCTGCTATAAAGCAAAGACTATACCAGGTAATATTTGTAAACTAAAATCTCTTGCCCGCATCGTTATGTTCTGTGAGTATCCTTGGTTCTTTTTGTTGTTTTTAATATTGTATATAGCTAGATTGTTTTAATTTTTTTATTCTCTTGTAGAGCTTGATTATTATTATTTTATTACATTTTGCTTTCTTCATTTGCAAGAATTTGTGTTATACATCAGATTTTGAATATTTTGTCCATGTTTAAAATTCGATTTTCTAGGCAAAGAATTTAGCTGAGATACCAATATGCGAGGAAGGAGAAGTGAGCCCTGACGAATTTAGCAAACCAATAACGCACCAGGAAGGAAGAGCGAAGTATGATGTTATTGATATATCACAAAAGAGAGGTACGGAATGCTTTATCTTTGTTAATAATTCTCGTACGCTTGTATCGAAGTATTCTGATGATGTTTGCCTTTCTTTAGCACTCGTTTCGAATGTAACGGATGCCGTCGAAATGTTGATCCAACATTTCTCTCCCGCGACTGATCAAGCCGAGTTGGCTTTCCTCGGCGACTCTAAACACTCCCCGGCCTGCGCTAAGATAGCTCTGAACGCACTGTGCCCAGCTTTGTACGCGATATTCAGAGACGGACTGAAGGAGAGTATCGAAACTTCATTTGGAGCGGTCGATAATTCCGTTTGGCAAATGTTGGAAGCAACAGCAAGACAAGGTAGGTAGAATTTGTTAACGCGACACAGAAAGTAATTGTATCTCGTTTTTGTTACATTTTAATATTTACTTCTTTATTTTAGGTCCAATTACAAAGTCTTTAAATGAATTAATTTTAAGAATCAACAGCGAAGACGCCGTTACAGAAGGCCTTGTCAAATTTAATGCATTTATACTGGGACTTCTCAAGTAAGAAATACTTTCATACAAGAATTATTAATTACATTTGTTTTGTTAAAGTAATGCAATAACAAAAAAATCTTTTGCAGTGCACAAACAGTCGACGCTTGGGTGTCGTATGTCAGAACGAGAGAATCCATTCTGGCCAAACATTACGGACCTGATTCCCTGATGTTGGCGGGCTGCATCGGCGAGCCGCGCTGCCGAGCGCTACTGGACACGCTACTGGCCAGCCTGGAACCACTGAAACTGCTGCCTTTCTCGCTAGACCTCATGTTCGAGATGAGAGAACTACACAGAAGCTTCAAGAGGATTGAAAGCGACATGCGCGCTGCCAGCCGAGTAAGTCACATTTAAATCTTTAATTAATGCAGAAGATAATTAGAAATAACATGTTTAATTTAATTATCTCGGGTAAGTAGAGTCAGTCACTTGCATTGAAAACACATTTCGCCTGTACTCAACCAGACATCGCTTTATTTGCATTTTATTTATTGCATGTGCTTAGGATACACGGAGTAATGCAAACCGACATTCCAACGCTCACTGTCGTGCACAGCTTTCATAAAATGCAAATAAAGGGACGATATCGATAAC